GGGTTCTCAGTCTCTTGAATCCAAACTAGACCAGGAAGGTGTGATTTTTCTAAATGACCTACATGTCAAGATGGCTGAGATTAAAAATACAAGTTTTTATCTTTTGAAACAGTCTTAAAAGGCCACTGTCATTTTTCACTTAGGTTTTTTAGAGCATTACTTCTAAATTTCTTGTTCTAGACATTTACAATTTGAGTCTCGGTCCCTTGATTCTGGATGTGAGTGTTGAAGACCTTGGGAAGACACAGCTGTAGGAGATAAATGACTATCAGGGCCGAATCCCCGGCAGAACTATGCAGTGTTACAGCTGGAGTTGTGGTTCACAACCGTAATCCCTGCACGTGGGAAGCTGAAGTAGGAGGACTGGCAGAAGTTTGAGGCCTAGCCTGGGCTACATAGTGAGTAGAAGATCTTGTCTCTCACAGTGTGGAGGTGTTACACCCAACATCTTTAACATGAGTAGCTTCAGTGGTTGGGAAGAGAATTAATAGTTTCCAATTTCTTAAAGTATTTTAATGTTATTTTATTTATTTATTTTCATTTTATGTGCATCGATGTTTTGCATACTTATTGTGTATCGGTTATTTGTGTGAGGATGTGTGCATCTTGGAATTGGGAACTATGTGGATATTGGGATTTGAACCTGGTTCCTCTGGAAGAGCAGCAATGCTCTTAATGGCTTAGCCATCTCTGCAGCCCCCAGTTTCCAATTCTTAACTCTAGAAGACACTCAAATCAAAGGAACATGTGTGCTTCTTAATAAATAAAGAAAAATTTTTGAGAAAGCGAAGACATGTTGGTTAATTTGTGTGGAAGAAGGAGGGAAAATGGGCACTCTGGGAGACATCCTCCTGTGCTGGCTCCAGTCCTCCTGACACATTAGGAACATTTTCAACCCCCGTGTTCTTGGACTGGCCCTTTAAGCATGAAAAGTCCTCTGAAATTCCATTCTGCTGTGCTCCCCCAGTGGCCTCGTCTGGCCCTCTCTGCCCCCTTCCCTTTCTCAGGCATGCTCTAGAGAGTCCCTGTAGGTGCCGAATGTGTTTAAGAGTTTAAAGCTGACAGAACCCGCTCCATGTGCTCCGAGTCTTCTGCTTCAGTCACCACACTGAGCTGTCCTTCAGGGGCCATGATTGTTCTGTTACTCAAAATGCAAGACGAATAAGCACAAGCAGCATGTGACCAGAATTTTTTTTCAATTCCAGAAAGTTCAATGAACCATTAATGCAATCACAGTATTGTTTTTATTCAGCAGTAGTTCAGTGAAGTCTGTAAGGCAGCCCATGCTGCTTGGAGGCTTGCTTTTTGCCCAAGTGACCAACAGAGAAGTCTGATTTCTCTTGATTTCTCTGTCTGTCTATGGCCACCCACTTTCCAGATCCCAGCAGGATCTGATTCTAATGCCACGCACGGAAGTCTGCCCTGGGTATCACAGTAAAACACACACACTTCAGGGATGCCGTTCTGTCAGACCAGGCTAAGTTAACAGGAGTCACAATTCCAAAGCCCGCTAACTTTATCCCTTGGCATCTAGTAAGCTCAAGCAACTACAGACAAGTGTGTGTGTGAGTGTGTGTGTGTGTGTGTGTGTGTGTGTGTGTGTGTGTGTGTGCCATTTATCAGTTGGCTGAGCCACTTCAAGAAATCAGTGTGCATTTGTGTGCTGGAGGCCTGGCACTGTAACAAGGGTCACTGTACTGGTTCAAAGTGGTGTTGCCTGAGGAGAGAGAGCCTCTGACTCGGAAGTCCTCCTAACTTCAGCCTTGAAGATCATTCAACCGCCTTCCCACAGTCCAGGGCTCAGTTGTCATTACAAACTTTGTTCTGATAGAATCATAGATCCTAACTGATAACAAAACAAGGACCATATGGGTCACTGAGCTGGGGAAATAAGGCTCTTACAGTCTTGAAAGTATGAATACAGGGGCCTGCTGGCTCAGAAGTGGAGGATAAGGAAGGAAAGCACGTGCTGTGGAATAAACCCATGAATCACATTTGTCTCTTCAAGCTGGCCACCCTAGATGCTGATATCAGTATTTTGGGGTGCTGGGGATGAAACTCAAGACCTCCCATGAGGTTGGCCAGGGAGGCATTAAGTAAACTACACCCCAGCCTGCTATTGACACGTAGCCTTTCCGCTGCAGTAGAGATGGTGGATATGGAGTTTCCACTCTTGTTTGGAGTTGCTTTCCTTCGAGTCAAAATGTCACTCTGTAGCCTACAGGAACCTCAAACTGTCCTGCTGCAGACCCCTAAGTGCTGGGATGACAGTGATGGGCCACTAGGCCCAGATCAAACTTGTTTGTATAGAAGTCACTCTGAACCAGGCTGACCTTGAATTCACGGCAATCCCCCTGCCTCCCAAGTGCTGAGATTACAAGCCTGAGCTACCATGCTAGGCCCACACCTTTCAACAAATAAGCCAGTTAGCTTTTTTTTTTCCTTACAAAGAATCTCCTGAAATCTAGAGAATCCCCTGCTATTCACATAAGCCAAAGCCATCATCTTAAACTCGGTAGAAAGTGTGACTACTTTTCCATCAGTAAAGACCCGCTTTTTTAGACAGACTGTAAGATAGTTCAACAGAGTGCAAATTACACCACAGAAGGTCAGAAATTTTATATTCCCAAGAGAGCAAGAAAGGCATTCTAGAACTAGGTATTTGTACCTCCACTTTGCTAGCTAGCTCTCTGTCATTCCTCCCCAAATCTAAAGGCTCTGCAATAATTTCTAATGATGTCATCTTCGGAAAGACTTAGTAGCTTCATTGGATGAAACCTCCCATTCTATTTAATAGAACTTACGTTTCCACCACATAGAAAAGTGGAGAGATCAAACTGTCTCACCTAAGCAAGCACTTGCCATCCACCGCTTCAGAAATGCACAGAGGTCAATCTGCATCAAGCAAGGCCCTGGTTCAGATAAAGAACTGGCCAAGGACAGCTCACTGGCTTGTCCCTGGGCTTTGTAGAACTAGTGCTTAAGCCGGATTTTACCCTTTGAGATGGTTGGGGGGAATTGATGGGGTGAAAACTGTTTTATGACATTGAAATTTCATGGAATTCAGATCTCAGTGTTTATAAATCAGGTTTGGGGCTGGCAAGATGGCTCAGTGGGCAAAGGTCCTTGCTGCCAAGCCTGAGGATGACTTGAGTTTGGTTCTCGGGACTCACATGGTGGAAGGAGAGAACTGACTCCCCAGGTTGTCCTCTGGCCCCTACAGATGTGCCACTGTACACATGTACCTACACACACGCACGCACGCACGCACACACGCATACACTTATACACAACCTTGCTGGAGCCCAGCCTTGCTCAAGTGTTTGTGAAGTACCAACTGTGGCTATTTTAAGGCAGTTAATCAGTTCCTAAGCATTACCATGAGGACAGGAGATCCCCAACGGGAAAAAAAAACCCTGCTTTTGAGTGTCAAGGTTTGCCACAGATACACTGGACCGTCCCTGATACCAGGTACTATGTAAGCAAGGGTCATTGCCCCAGAAACAGCAGTTATGGTTCTGTGTAACTGTGTTCTGTTAACAATGACTAATTACAAAATAAACATTCCCAGAAGAATTCACACCATAAAATATTTATTAAAAATTTAAAATGATTTTCTCCTGCTTTGGTTATTAAAGTCTTTGATTCTTGTCTATTGATACCAATTGCAAGCAATAATGTAACATTATCACTGTCATCATGAGATGACAGACAGATGACAGAAGGCAAGATGAAGATGCTGTGGGTAGGATAGTATAAAAGACCAAACTTCACAGTCATTTAACAAAAATTTGGCTTTGCTAGCAGTTCAAAATTTACTTACAATGTAAACTTTTTCTGTAAGTAATCAATGGACAAATTCAGTTGAATTTAATAAATTAAAACCTTGGCAGTGAACACAGCTTGTTGCAGACTGAGGAGAAAAGGGATGTCATGTCTCCTTGAGGAGCTTTTCTCTGGATTTCATAATTCCTGCTGCTGGAAAAATAAACCATTCTGATAACAAGAATATAAAAAAGCCTTTTGACTTGCAAAGTGGTTCACGTCTGAGGTTTAAGTGCCACACCCTGTCCCCGTGACGGCTGACCACCTAAAGAGCATCTCTTCTGCACAGTTGTTTTTTACTAATCTTCATCCACCCATGGATAATTTCCTGCTGTTGGGACTATTTAGACAAGGGGAATCCTGAAACCGGGCAGAACAAAATGAACTACCGGGCGTGTCACGTGGCAAAGTTGAAAGTAACTTGGAGAGCAGCAAATGACAGCTCATGCTTTCAATTAGACAAAAAAAAAAAAAGAAGAAGAAGCAGCATCCAATTTCTTCTTAGATACCACTGTAGAGCCAGGAAATAAAAAGGTGCCATCAAAAAGAAACAAATGGAGTCAGTGCCACGCCACCCCCAGAATTTTGACTGTCTGCATTAGAAATGTACATTTTCTTTCCATCTCTTTAACATAGAAAATCACTTAATAAGATCTTTACACACGGTTATCAAAAAAACAAAAAAACAAAAACAAAACCAAAAAGCACATAATAGCCTCCCCTCCCCCAAAGCATAAAAATAGAGACTATATCTTTTACAATGAAATTAAGACATGCCTCTGGTGACTGAGGCTGATAAGTAGTGTCGGGAGTTCAAGCTCACTTCTTTTCATAATAATTATATAATTTACATCTCCTTTCAGCCTTGAACACTGATTTCAAAACAGCCCAGGTTAAGGGGAGGTAACAGGCATTCTCCTGTGCCGCTGAAACAAAAAGGAATAACGACATCATTCAACCCCTGACTCTGGCAGCCACACCTCAAGGGCACTTAGGGTCTCAAGCATTTGTCACATGCTTGAGGACACAGGTGGCAATTCCAGGGGTTGTGGTTTTCCATTTTGCATCTGGACACAGGCACAGACACACTGCTCTGGAGATGTCCCCTTCTAGGTTAGGGGTGAATGAAGTCATCCGGAAGAGCAGCAAGGGTGGGAACATCACCACCTTGAGCAGACTCCTGGTACAAGAATCAGGCCCTGTGGTTTTCAGTCTCATAAAGGAGTCTAATCTGTGACCTGCAGGCTATACAGTCACTGCAGGGAACATCTTCTGCTCACTGTTGGTGTGAGCAAAGGAGGGCTGCACTGGTCTGTAGCCAGGCTGCAGGCCATCCATGAATGGAGGCACTGGCGTCATGGGTACAGAGTCATGTTGTACTGCATACCCCACATATGGAGTATGCAGGTACTGCCCCTGATGGGGTACGATCTGGGTAGCCTGCTGACAGTTGAGTACAGAGAAATTTGTGGGCATGTTGACGTACACATTGTTCATGGTTCCCTCCGGCAAGCAGCAATTGGTCTGTGATCTCGTCGGGGGAGCCCGGGCTCCCGAGTTCGCACTGGAGCTGGAGCTGGCAGCCGTGCTGGACTGACGAGAGGATGAGCCCCTCGAAGTGCTGGCACTGGGAATCATGGGGATGGTCTCCATCAGCCGGTTGCCCCCTGGGGCTCTGCTCTGCTGGGGGTCCTGCTTTGGCCGTAGACATCTGCAACAGCATGCTGCTACGAGGGACCCAAGGATGATGAAGGCAACGAACACAGAGCCAACGATGAGAAACGGCACGTAGATGGGGACTGGAGAGAGAACAGAGACACAGCATTATGTTTCACATCAGAATCGCTCAGCATGGCAACCAGCAGAGGCTGGGGACAGATGCACTTCTGTGGCTCCTCCCGGAAGTGAAGGGCGAAGGCTGGGCCAGCTGGTCACAGGTCAGAGGTGCACAAGATGCATCGTCCAAGTGCTTCGGAACGCTGCCAAGGCCTGCAGTCATGGCAAGGCCCCTGAAAGCTAAACCTCATAACCCCACTTAGATTCCCCTAATACAATACCAGATGCCCATGTCCAAGTTGTCAAAGAACAGGCTTGATGTAGGTGATTCTACAGTAGCTGGGCAGCCTAAAGAAATGCAAGCCTTCCCTAGCAGGGCATCCGCAGGATCTAAATGGAAATGAGGTGACACTTCTCTACATCTTTTTTTCCTTCTCCTAGGAAGTTTTACACATTCCTTGGCTTCTTTTTGTCATTACTTTTAACAAGTTTCTTTTCTTATAGGCAGAACGATAAAACCACAAATAACTTAGGTAAGATTCTGAACCATTGTCATTTCCAAATAAGAAATAAGACGTGGAAGGGGAAAACAATCAGAAGACGAAAGAACACTGGGCCAGGGAGATAGCTCAGCAGAAAGACTCTTGCCACTGAGTTCAATCTTCAGAACCAGATGGTGGACAGAGAGAGCCTCTCCAAGTTGTCTTTTGACCTCCATATGCATGCCAGAGCGCATGCACACACATGTGTGTACACAAGCAAAATGGATAAAACTAATATATATACATATATGTGTGTGTGTGTGTGTAAAAGTGCACAAATCTAAAAAGCCTTGCTTAATAAAAGTGGATAATACAAAAGTAGTTACTAGAGGCTGAGGGTGAGTAGGGGAAGAAGGAAGGACAGGATGAGCCAGTAGGTATTAAATTTTCTGAAAAATAAAATAACAATAAAAGGCTGTTAGTAAGAGCAGAATAATAAACTTCATTTTAAAATTATTTTCTTAAAAAACAAAAACAAAACACTTTCGGGAACCTGACTCACAGCTTTAACCTAAGCCCTTGGGAGGCCGAAACAAGAAAACTGTCTTTAAGTTTAAGACCAGCCTAGACTACACAGTGAGTTACTGGGCCAGCCTAGGCTATAAAGTGAGACTTTATATATTATATATAATTATATATTGTATTTTTAAAATAAATAACAGAATTTTTTAAATTGTTGGAGCCATAGGGATGGCAAGTACACAGGGCTAGCAGATCATGCTGGCAAGTAGTCCCACACCTTGTTCAGGACACAGGCAGGCAAGAAGAGCTTGCAGAAAGCCTCTGGGCCACTTCCGTGGAAGTCTACTTACAGTAAAGAAACTGCTGCAGTTTCTGGTGTGTTCCTGACTCGGTTCCTTTTTGGCAGGGGCATAAGTGGGTGTGAGATGTGGAGAATTGGACTGGACGGAGTCCTCCCACATGCTAAGGAACCATGTCACCACTGAGCCCAGCCCAGCCCTTCCTAACGATTCCATCTGAGCAGGGATTCATGGGTCTCACCAGCCTTGGCGAGGCACAGTTGCCAGTATGAAGGGGCAGCACGGAGCCCGGACCTCAAAGGTCAGACCTGCGAACGGCCTTTGCAGACTATACTCTGGGAGTCGGCACTCCCATTCACATAGCACACAGAATCACAAAGAAACAAGCTTACAGCCAGGCAGTGGACACTGCCGAGCGGAACCACTTGTACACTCAGGGTCCCCTCGGCAAAGCAGAAGGCTTGCTGCCATCTGCAGCCCAGCTGGCTCCCGCAGCTGGACGGCTTTCGTTACACCAGCACCCCAGGCTGGGTCCAGGACCAGAGCGATGAGAGCCAAGCCCTTTCCTACACACATCATAAATATTTCATTCCCAAAATTAAGATACCAGCCCCCTCCTGGTATAAGAAGCAAGCAAGCAAACAAACAAACAAAAAAACCACAGAGATGTTTTACCTCCAATATGACAGCAAAAAACAAAAACAAAAAAAAGAGCTGAACTCAGTCTCAGCCCACATAATGAGTTTGGGGGAGAAATAACTGTTCTCTTTCCAGGATTTCTTAATTGGAGGTGTAAATAACTACACAGGGGTAAAGAATGCGGTGCTACCAGAAGCCCACGCAGGCTTAATTGGGCAATTCGTCCTTCACTGCAGAAGGGCTGTGAGAGAACCAGGAGAACTAAAGGGAAGGTTTAGGAGTGGAGTGAAGGGCACCCATGCCCAACATCCACAGTATGAGAAGGCCGCTGCCTCCAGCTTCAGCCAATTCCATCCCGACTTTTTAGAAGTTATTAACAAGCCCAATTTAACAGACACCTTATTGTAGCCATTTGGCTCATTTCTCTAGGCTTTGTTCCCAGACCACACACTCTGCAGAGCTGAGCTGGAGTTCAGATGGTACCTTCTGCAGAATGGCCCTCAGCTCTCCTCTCTTCAGACTCAAGTCAGTGTAACAGCAGGCATAGCAAACTTACAAAACGCTTAACCGCACTGAAAAGAGCTGCCTTGCTGGAGACTGCTCTATAAAGCAGAAACCACCTGTGCCAAAGCTCAAACAACTCCAACCCTGTGTTCTTGTAGCACACACACACAGACACACACACACACACACACACACACTCAATTTGGCAGCCTCTCCTTGAGGAAATGCCATCTACTAAATTATTTGACAGGCTTATTTTCAAAATCTGGCTTTGTCTATTAAGAAATAGTCAAAGCCTCAATGAGCAAAGTTGGGCTCTGTTCCAATGGCACGTCTATCAAGTCTGCCTAAGGAGACCAATCCGGATTCCTAGAGGCCTAGGTGGTCACAGGGAGCTGTGCACTGGCTCCTCTGGAAGAGATGGGATCCCTGGGATGTGAAAAGGTGTGTCACCCACGGGAAGCTGTCCCCTGCTCCCGGGAACTGCGCCTTGCTTCTGAGAACCCCTGGAAGAGAACCCTGGACCGGCCTTCTCCAGAGGGGTGCACCCTTGCCATTTTCTTGACTATTCCCAAGAAATTAAGCCCAATGGAAACTGGAGACGCAGGGAAAGGAAGGCAAGGACCATGAAGAGAAGCAACGTGTTTTGTCTTGAGTTTTTGCCCCACTTCACACAAAGTTAAAGAGTAGGGGGAAAACAAACAAAAACAAAACAGAACAGAAAACCCAAAACCAAACCAACCAAACAAACAAACAAACAAAAATCCTCAAGCTTCTCCTGCTCCCAGGCCCTTTCCTAAAATCGCCAGGCTTCCGGGTCCCTGCTGCCCAGGCAAATCAACTGCCCTCCCCCTTTGCACCTGGCTGCTGCTCGCCTACCTGCCGAGCTGTCTGGGCCTTCTCGGTCAGTCCGGCCAGGCTCCCCTACGCCCTGCTGGCGGTCGTTGTCGCAGCCGCCCTGGTCCAGGCGCGCCTCGGCGCTGGAGCAGCAGTAGCGCAGCGCGCAGCTGCCGCAGCAGATGGTGGCGTCGCCGCCGTCGAAGCGCTCCGGGCACTGGAAGCCGATGCGCCAGACGCCCTGCGCGTCCAGCCAGCCGTGGCAGTACTCGCCACTGGCCCGCGCCCCCGCCGCCAGCAGCGCGGCCAGCAGCAGCTGCAGCAGCGACGCGCGGTGCCTGGAAGAGGTGGAAGGTGAGCAGCGTCCGCCCCACATGGCACTGTCCTGGGCACCGGTGATGTCTCTAGAGGACACAGATCTCCCCCAAGAAGTTATGGCTTGGCGATCCCAGGGGCTTTCCGTTAAGGAACACTCCCCTCTGAGGCGAAGCCCAGGCTGAAGAGTCAGGGTCTAAGTCATCCCTCCTTGCGAGTGACCTGGTCCCTGCTAGGTTCGGCCTTCACAGGAGCATCACAGAAGGAACGTTCCTGGAAGCTTGGCTTGCGATCCGACCTTCTTGTGCATCCCCGAGGGGATGCCCCGCTGCCGATCAGGAGCCAGGCCGCGGCTGGAGCGTTTCAGCATCAGGGTCCGGCGCTGGTGGGTGCTTTTCCCCCTCTATTCACTTCCCGGGCGAGAAGCAGCGAAGAAGGCGGCCAGTGCGCGCAGTGCTCTCGGCGGCAAGTGCAGCAGCGGTCGGCTGCGCTCTGCCTCCGCTGCCCGGTGCTCCGTCCTCATGGCTCTGGCCACCGCTCGGGACGCTGCGAGTGTCCGCACCTCCCCTGCAGTCCTGGAGCCCGCCCGGCTGGCGGCGGCCGCGCTGCTGCTGCTGGGCGCGGGGCCAGCGGGCTGCCCTCCCCGGCTCCTGCTGCTGCTGCCCGCGTCTGGTCTCCCTCTCCCTGTCGCTGCTGCGCCCCCGGGTAGTGCGCTCCGATGGGAGCCGCCCACGGAAGTTTCAGTCCCTCGGGCTACGGGAGCAGAGGAACGCGCGGACACCCCACGCCTAGCAGGGCTGCGAGCCAGTTCCGACTGCCAGGCTGCGCGCCGCGCTCCCCTCTTAAAGAGGGGCTGGAGGCTCCCCTGCGCGCATGCGTGCTGAGCGGGCTTCCCTCGGCTTTGGGACGCCAGGGGACACCCGTAGCCCTTCACTTTCCTTCATCAAAGGTGTGGCGATGGCCAGGCAGCGGCCACAGAACAGAACAGACCTATGGGAAAACACGTTTTAAGTCAGCCACGCCTTGGAAGCCAGTTAAAGCAAGGATAGCAGAAGCAAAAGTTTAATACAGATCTTCGATACCCAACATTCTGAATTACTCTGACAACCCTCCAAAGGATAATTCTTAATTACTTTCCATGTTCCAAACGACACAGTCATCAAGATAGACTTGTCTTGCTCAGCTTCCAGCTCCTGGTGCCTCTGCACTGCACAATAAACAGGTCACCAAGGACATCAATAGGGTCACTGTCTAAATTATCTATATCACTTTACTAGGTTTTTTTCCTCTATAATTGGGTGTGGTGATTGTTGATGTCCAGCAGAAAGGTGCCTCCATGTGACATTTAACCTCCTTGGCTTAGACAGCTGCTGCCAGGAAGAAGGCAAGGGTCCAGACGCCAGAGATTCTGAGAAGAAACAAATAGCTTCACTCTTGAAGCAGCCGAGCAGGTGCTGGTGCTATTAAAGTAACGATGAGTATTTTTAAAGGACCTACTGCGTCTTCCTCGGCTGGAGTCATTCCAAGGGAATCCTAAACCCAGCCCCACCAGGAGGAGCCATCACATGTTCCTGGGTTCTGTTTCTTTGTGTATCTAACAGAGAACCGGCTGTGACAACTCACAGCTACAGAATACAAAGCAATTTTATCCATAGCAAAGGCATTTTGGATTAAACCTCTGTAGGGCTCTTAATGCAACCCTTACCTAAAACACTGAGAATTAGCCTTCCACTTACCCCAGAAAATGTTCACAGAACAAAACACCTTAGTCTTGTCATTTAAGCTGCAGTTTCATGGAGCCCCAGGACTGGTGCCTTAGAAGCAAATGCTCTACCACAGAGCTCCACTCCATGACATATTTTAAATGCACCAAACACCAACCTTCTGTAAGCTAAGACATGAACAGAACTTCAGCATCGAAGAAGCATCCATTTCATAAAACACATTCCGAGTTGAGTACTAAGGATTCACCTTGACACCTTGGCCATTTCACTTAAGCAGGGTGGTCTCCAACCCACAAATTAACTAGGCCCAACCCTGCTTACCATCAGAGATCAGATGGGTATGGCCACAAACTCAAGCAGACTCTAAAGTTTCTGAATTAACAGAGGAGTTGGACTGAAACGTAATCAAGCAAGTAAAAATAATACAAATATGACGATCTACCAGCAGCATTGAGGTCAATTTGTGTGTGAATGATGGGTATGTATGTGTTTGTATGTGCATGTATGTACACATATATGAACCTGGATATGGTGGCCAGAGGTTGATTGATGTCAGACCTCTTTCTCAATTACTCTCCATATTGAGACATGGTATCTCACTGAGCCTGGAGTTCACCAAGTAATCTAGACTGGCAGGCTTATAAGCTCCAGAGGTTTGCCTGTGTGCCCCCATCCTACCCCACGATGGGATACAGGCCAAAGCTACCATGCTAAGCTTTTCTGTAGGTGCTGGGGATTTGAACTCGGGTCTTCATGCTTGTATAACCCACACTTTACTGACTGATCCACCACCCTAACCCTTTACAGTTAAAATATACAGGGTGGCATTAGGCTAAGAGGAAAGGCCAGAAAAACATCAAAGGACTAATAATTAGATTTAAGCTCCAAGAAGCCAAGTGGAAAAGTGTGGGGCTGTAGCTTGCGTGTGGGCGTGGGCATGGGCATGGTCCAGTTGGGCTGATTTGTGTGTTTTGAGTGTCTGCCACGGCTCACGGAGGCAGAAGCACAGGAATTTGACTGAGTTCACTCCACACGTCACTGAGTGGATGTTGGGCTGTGAGAAGTCACAGAACTCCACTCTGGGCACATGGAGATCTCAGTCTGAGGTCCCATGGGGGCAGAGCTCTTGGGTTGGGAGTCTCCGGGCCAAGGGAGCTGGCAAGAGACCACTGGTCTCAGTCCTTGGGCACCCAGACACTGCTCAGAGAACACAGAAGGATTGAGATGGGGCATGGGGAGGGGAATATTGGCTGGACCAGCCCGCAGCCAAAAGGAATGAGAGAGAAAAGCTCCAGCAGCGCCCCTCTGGAAAATGAGGCTCTTGGTCACTGCGACTCACTTGGCTGGGCCTCGGCTGGCTTGGCTAGCTTGCTTGAGTTGATGGGCCTCTGTGACTGGAATGCAGAGAAGTCCTCCAGTAGGAGGTTAGGTGCAGGCTCAGTAGTTGAAGGTCCCCTCTATGGTTCTCCACAGCAGGCACCAATGACATGAGGAACTCCATGGTTTTAAAAGGTTTGTTGTCTTGGCGGAAAGTGGATGAAGCTGTACCCCGTGTCCTCAGGGTAGGCTTGAGGTTAAATACCTTTTGCAAGGAGGAGGGTCTGGGAAGGAATGCTTAATTGGCTACTTCCTCTGGCCTTTAGATATCTCATTAATATGGAGATCTCTTGAGGCTCTGCAGCCTGTGGTCATGCCCTCTACCTGTGCTACATGACCTAAGGCCATAAACCTTTCTTTGGGAGGGGCTGTGGATGGCTGAAGCTAAGTGAAAGGAACCAGGGCCCAGGAGCAAGGCCGAACTCCTACCATCTCTTTAGAGTATCGGGGTTCAAGGCCTGTGCCTGACCAGGTTCCCAGGTGCCTCTCACAGCCCGCCACCCCACAGAGAAGCCAAGTTTTGATGGATGGAGTTATTCTCTTGGTGATTGTGGTTAGCTACCATTTACTGGGCACTTAACTATATTCTAGGTAGCTGTGTCCCTGCGATGGCTGATAACCTATACTGGGCATCTCTGTAGCACATCTAATCTTCACAGACTCCCTATAAGGAAGACATGACTTTGCTCGTTATATTGTTGTGGGCAAATTTCTCAGCCCACATGGACAGAGGGTCTCAATTTTCCTGGACCCGCTCATTTATTGCTTGACCCCAAAGCCCATTTGCCAACTTACTGGTCACCATAGTCATCACTTCCAGTATCAGTATAAATTGATTTACCTGGTGTTCTGGGGGTTAATACTTTTCTAAAATTTATTTTGTTTTTAATCACTTGTAGCATGTTTGTCTGTGGGTTGGTGTGTAACATGCGTGAGTTTCAGAGGCCAGAAGAGGCCATCAGATCCACTGGAGCTAAAATTACAGGCAGGTGTAAACTGTTTCTTTGCATGCTGGGAAACTTACTCCTGTCTTCTGCAAGTGGGTTACTGCTTTAAGTATTTTTCCTTAGTTGTCGTGTTTGATTCAAGGTATTGTACTTAGTGCAGACAGCACTTGCTCTATACTTCCTTTCTTCTACCATTTATGTGGGGCTCCAAAACACCCGTGGTTTATCCAGGGCTCATAAGGAAATGTTGAACAATTGACACTGAGTTGATCAGATGGTTTGGTTGTACCATGGATTAAGGACAATGTTTTTGCTTTTTTCCCAGACAGTCAATGATTAGTCTATAATTGGTAAATTTGGAAGCCTGTGAACCTTGAGGAGATTTATCCTCTTTTTTCAATCATTGGGCATCCTTTATTATGCTGGAGCCTGGACCCAAAGCCTTGTCTATTCTCAATGCTTGGCTGTTGAGCCACGTCCCCAGAAGTGTTTACTAAAAGTTAAAGAGAGTCCTGTCTCACTGTGATTTGCTGTGGTAGTTGTCTTCATTGTTCAAAAGTCCCACACATTGCTCTATCTCCTTTCTTATTTGTTTTTATTTTTACTGTGTACCTAATATGCTGTATTGAAATTTTATAAAATAAATTATCAATTACTTTTCTAATGTGGGTGCTACAAAAGAGGGCTTAAGATGGTCTTCTCTTTCCAGAGGAAACAAAAAGAAATTTCATCACTATTTTTAACAGGCTGACTAACCTACTCGACTGTTCTCTTCTGAGAAACCAAAACTGGCTATCACAGCATAAGGGTCAGAGCAATAATAATTTATTATAGTCAAAACTAAATGTCAGGCAGACTGACCATGACATGTTTAAAAACATATGAAAGTGTGATTCCTCTCTTTAAAAACCTGAGTTCTACAGAACATTCTCAGGTTATTTCTTCTTTAAGTATGTGTATATACATATGCATTTATATGAATAAAATAGTTGATTTTATAAACAGGAACTTCT